AGAAATAAATGAATTAGAGACTAGAAGAACAATAGAAAGAATTAATGAAACCATGAGCTGGTTCTTTGAAAAGATAAACAAAATTGACAAACCTTAACTAGACTCACCAAGAAAAAAAGAGAGAAGGCTCAAATAAATAAAAATCAGAAATGAAAGAGGAGAAATTACAACAGACACCTCAGAAATACAAAAGATTATAAGAGAATACTCTGAAAAGCTATACGCCAAAAAATTGGATAACCCAGAAGAAATGGATAAATTCTTAGAATCATACAACGTTCCAAAACTTGATCAATAAGAAATAGAGAATTGGAATAGAGCAATCACCAGTAAGGAGATCAAAACAGTAATCAAAAAATAAAAGTCCAGGACCAAATGGCTTCCCTGGTGAATTCTACCAAACAATCAAAGAAGACTTACTACCTATCCTTCTCAAACTCTTCCAAAAAATTGAAGAGGAGGGGAGGCTTCCTGACTCATTCTACAAAGCCAACATTATCCTGATACCAAAAGCAGACAAAGATGACACAAAAGGGGAAAATTACAGGCCAATATCACTGATGAACATCGATGCAAAAATCCTCAACAAAATACTAGCAAATACAGCACTGTTTACAATAGCCAAGACATGGAAGCAACCTAAGTGCCCATCAACAGACGAATGGATAATGAAGATGTGGTACATATATACAATGGAATACTACTCAGCTGCAAAACAGAACAAAATCATTCCATTTGCAATAACATGGATGGACCTTGAGAGAATTATGTTAAGTGAAATAAGCCAGCGAGAGAAAGATAATCTGTGTATGACTCCACTCATATGAGGAATTTAAAACTATGGACCAAGAACAGTTTAGTGGATACCAGGGGAAAGGTGGGGTGGGGGGTGGGCACAAAGGGTGAAGTGGTGCACCTACAACATGACTGACAAACATTAATGTACAATTGAAATTTCACAAGATTGTAACCTATCAATAACTCAATAAAAAAATAATAATATAAAAAAATACTAGCAAATAGAATACAATAATACATTAAAAAGATCATACATCATGATCAAGTGGGTTTTATTCCAGGGATGCAGGGATGGTTCAACATCTACAAATCAATCAATGTGATACACCACATTAACAAAATGAAGAATAAAAATCACATGATCATCTCAATAGGTGCAGAGAAAGCATTTGACAAGATACAGCATCCATTTATGATAAAAACTTTAAATAAAATGGGTATAGAAGGAAAATACCTCAACATAATAAAGGCCATAGATGACAAACCCACAGCAAAGATCATCCTCAATGGAGAAAAACTGAAAGCTCTCCTCTAAGAATAGGAACCAGACAAGGATGCCCACTTTCACCACTCTTCTTTAACATAGCATTGGAAGTCCCACTCAGAGCAATCAGGCAAGAAAAGAAATAAAAGGGATCCACACTGGAAGAGAAGAAGTGAAACTGTCACTATTTGCAGACGGCATGATTTTATATATAGAAAACCCTAAAGAATCCACTGAAAAACTTTTAGAAATAATAAATGAATACAGTCAAGTCACAGGATACAAAAGCAACATACAAAAATCATTTGCATTTCTATACACTAACAACCAAATAGCAGAAAGAGAAATTAAGAATACAATCGCATTTACAATTGCAACAAAAAGAATAAAATACCTAGGAATAAACTTAACCAAAGAGGTGAAAGATCTGTACACCAAAAACTAGAAAACATTGTTGAAAGAAAGTGAAGCAGACACAAAGAAATGGAAAGATATTCCATGCTCATGGATCGGAAGAATTAACATAGTTAAAATGTCCATACTTCCTAAAGCAATCTATAGATTCAATGCAATTCCAATCAAAGTTCCAAAAATATTTTTCACAGAAATAGAACAAAGAATCCTGAAAATTATATGGAACAACAAAAGACCCCGAATAGCCAAAGGATTCCTGAGGAAAAAGAATGAAGCTGGAGGTATCACACTCCCTGATTTCAAAATATACTACAAAGCCATAGTAACCAAAACAGCATGGTAATGGCACAAAAACAAACACACAGATCAATGGAACAGAATCGAGAGCCCAGAAATAAACCCACACATCTATTGACAGCTAATATTCGACAAGGGAGCCAAGAGCATACGATGGAGAAAGGAGAGTCTCTTCAATAAATGTTGTTGGGAAAACTGGACAGCCACATGCAAAAGAAGGAAAGCAGACCATTATCTCACACCATGCACAAAAACCAACTCAAAATGGATTAAATACTTGAATGTAAGATCCGAAACCATGAAACTTCTAGAAGAAAACATAGGCAGCACGCTCTTTGAGATCGGTCTTAGCAGCATATTTTCAAGTACCATGTCAGACCAAGCAAGAGAAACAAAAGAAAAAATAAACAAATGGGAGTACATCAAACTAAAAAGCTTCTGCACAGCAAAGGAAGGCATCAACAAAACGAAAAGACAACCTAACAATTGGGAGAAGATATTTGCAAACCACATATCAGGTAAGGGGTTAATATCCAAAATATACAAGGAACTCATATGTCTCAACAACAAAAAAACCAAAGAACTCAATTAAAAAATGGACAAAAGATCTGAACAGGCATTTCTCCAAAGAAGATATACAGATGGCCAACAGGCATATGAAGATGTGCGACACCATTAGCTATCAGGGAAATGCAAATCAAAACCACAATGAGGTATCACCTCACTCCAGTCAGAATGGCTATAATTAACAAGACAGGAAACAACAAGTGTTGGAGAGGATGTGGAGAGAAGGGAACCCTCGTACGCTGCTTGTGGGAGTGTAAACTGCCAGCCACTATGGAAAGCAGTATGGAGTATCCTCAGAAAATTAAGAATAGGTCTACCATACGATCCAGCTATTCCTCTGCTGGGTATTTATCCAAAGAACTTGATAACACAAATGCATAAAGATACATGCACCCCTATGTTCACTGCAGCATTATACACAATATCCAAGACTTGGAAGCAACCTAGGTGCTCATCAAGGGACGAATGGATAAAGAAGATGTGGTATATATACACAATGGAATACTACTCAGCCATAAAAAATGATGAAATCTGGCCACTTGTGACAACATGGATGGACCTTGAGGGTATTATGCTAAGTGAAATAAGTCAGAGGGAGAAAGTCACATACCGCATGATCTCACTCATAACTGGAAGATAAAAACAGTGACAAACAAACACAAAGAGACAGATTGGATTGGTGGTTACCAGAAGAGAAGGAGGGATGGGAGAGGAGGGGAGAGGGTGAAAGGGACAATCAGGTACATGTGTGTGGTGATGGATTGTAATTAGTCTTTGGTTGGTGAACATGATGTAATCTACACAGAATTCAAAATATATTAACAATATACATCTGAAAATTATATAAAGTTATAATCCAATGTTACTGCAATAAAAAAATTAAATAAACTGCTTACAATGGTTGTATTTAATGGTGTATAAGTTATACTTCCATAAAGCTGTTAAAAACAAGAAGTGACAAGAGGGGCCAGCCCAGTGGCGCAGCAGTTAAGTTTGTGTGCTCCACTTCAATGGCCCGGGCTTCGCAGGTTCGGATCCTGGGCGTGGACCTAGCACTGCTGGTCAAGCCATGCTGTGGTGGTGTCCCACATAAAATAGAGGAAGATTGGCACAGGTGTTAGCTCAGTGACAATCTTCCTCAAGCAAAAAGAGAAAGATTGGCAACAGAAGTTAGCTCGGCGCCAATCTTCCTCATAAAAAAAAGGAAGAATTGGGGCTGGCCCCGTGGCCGAGTGGTTAAGTTCGTGTGCTCCGCTGCAGGCGGCCCAGTGTTTCATTGGTTCGAATCCTGGGTGTGGGCATGGCACTGCTCATCAAACCATGCTGAGGCAGCGTCCCATGTGCCACAACTAGAAGGACCCACAACGAAGAATATGCAACTATGTACCGGAAGGGCTTTAGGGAGTAAAAGGAAAGAATAAAATCTTAAAAAAAAAAAAAAAAGAAGAAGAAGTGACAAGCAAAAAAGAAACCAAAAACTGAGAAAGACTTATTAAAGACATTAAACACTAGAAACAGCCATGCATCCACCCCTGGCAGAGGCGCTTCTCACTAGGTTAGAAACCACAAAATTAGTGAGAAGTGAAAATCAGATTAACTCGCTCTTAATTAAAACTTGTGGAGGAGGGTGTGAGGCTGAGGTGAGGGCACTGGAGGGGTGCTGGGGGGCTCTGGCAAGCGAGGGTACCCTGCTTTACAAGCATTGAAGGCTGCCTTCCTGCCTGAGGGCCAAGAGCTGCGCGGGCTGAGGCTGGAAATGAAGACTGTGTCAGTCACACCAGGGCTTGCAGCCCGTGGCACAGGTCTTGGATATTATCTGAGGCATGAAGAAAGCCCAGGAAAGTGTGTTAAGAAGAGGAAACTATAACCACATTTGGTCTGTCAGAGTTCAAACCAGAAGTTTTGCGGAGAAAGGATATAATTCCTGAAGGCATGGACTATGGTTTGTCCATCTTTGTAACTAACACAGGGGGTCACCCACTGAGAGGAAACTATGAGCTACCTAATCCATATTTGTTAAATGAATTCATGTACAATAGTCATTCATTCCCACAGTTTGCACAGACTGGCTAAAAATGGCTGACCCCACCAAAGCCAGGCGTGAGTCCCCTGTCAGCAATACCCATAGCCCATTTCTGAGCTCTGTCCTTGTAGAGGAAAGAGAATGTTATCGCCCTCTGATTTACCTCATATAAACCCCCTCACACTTCCACTGCTCATCTCCATGAGGTGCTCCCCTAACAGAGGTGACAGAAGCGGGGTTCCCTCCTCATTTCCCAAGCCAAAAGCATCAACTTGCCAAATCGCTTTGGAAGCCAGCTGAGCCCCAGGGAAAAGCTGTGGTCTTCCTGCAAAGCCTCCTTTCTCACTGAGCACCAGCTGCAGAGGCGGGAGGGCATGTCAAAAGGGGCGGAGACCTTCATCTCCAAGACATCCTTACCTGCACCTTATAAAGGTGTTGGAAAGCATCCTTCCGAAATTTTTTCATATTGATGGTGGCCAGCACTGTAGAGAGAAGGGAGAGGTGCTGCATGGGGCACTGTGACAAGTGCCACCAGGGGAGGGATGGAAGCCCACACCTTGTGCTACTTCTATTCCACTTTGCAAAGTACAAAGGGCTGTCATATATGTCCTCACATCACTGGACATGTGCAAAGACAAGGTGAGGCAAGAAGGGCAGTTAAAATTACCATATTTCGTGCAGAGAAGTGGAACAGGCCAAGGTCACACAACTTGATTATACCTAGGAATTGAATGCAGGTTACCTGGCCCCAAGTTCAGTACACTTTCTACCATACCATGGAAATAATGTGAGGAAGAGCCATAAAAAATGAGGAGAGAGAGCAGTATATTGAAGCAGCTAGTCTTAAGCTCAGGACCACCTGACAGATAGTCGTCTGGACCCATGTGGCTGCTCACACCTTGGTCATTTCCTTCACTATCATCACCTTATGATTTTGTTCTGAATTGTTCTGCTATTCTCTTCTCAGGACCTACCTGGAGCTCACAGTGAGCCTCAGGGAGCAGGATCCCAGAACTGGGACTTGTCCTAGGCCACCTTCCTGACACAATACCTGTCTTCTGCTTCTCCATGTGGTTCTCCATGCTGGTGGAGAAGGCCTTGATTCTAAGCCATGCCCAGCACCAAAGCAGATTCTTAGCCACAGAAAAATTATGAAAGATGGAAAGGTACATTGAGTCCAGAAGAGCTCAATTATGGTTCTGTTTAAAGAGAGACCACAAGAGCAAGGAAAAGACATAGAGCTGGTGAGTCAACTCTTTGCTTTGACCCTGAGTCCTTATCTACTATAATACCAAATCTCTGGGGTCTGTTTCAATGTACATGGGAAAGAGAGGTATCAGAGATATTCTTGTTCTTTTTCTGAGACTCGTCCAAGACTCAAACTGGCTGTCTAAGAGCCTCAGTTCTCCCTTAAAATAATTCTAAATTTGTACCTCCTTTTATGTAGCCTTTTAGCACATCATCCACATTATCCGAGGTCAAGAGAAGCTCCACAATCCCTCTTTTCAGCAGGGCCTGTTGATAAAAGTGGACAAAATGAACCTACTTCTCTTGCTGCCATGGGAAGAAGGAGCTATAAGGAAATTAGGAAATAAACACAAGTGGGCTCTGATGGGCAGCCTGAGAGCTAGAGAGAAAGGTTTGCATGGAGAGTCTGACCATGCGCAGCTCAGTAAATTGCAGGGGATGGTGGTCTCCACCCCAGTCTGGTGCTTTTCCTGGGGACGGCCACAACAGCAGCGGAGTACGGGCTTTGACACCCATGGTCATTGCCTCAAGGGGAAAAGCACAGGGCTAAGTCTATGAGGAAGCAACCAGGGAGGATCTAAATCTGAGAAAAAGAGAGAAAGAAGACTTGGGAAACCCTTTGTGCCTGAAGGGGAGAGGTTGAGGCTGCGGGGCCCTAAGAAAGATCAGAGGCAAACTTCACAAAACTTAGGTCCTACCCGGACACTCAAAGGAAGCACGGAAGTCTGCCATGGCTTTGGGGAAGCAGGGAATCTAACTTGAAATTCATATTTACTGAGGGCATAGGGAGCAGACAGACGGCCAGAGGGTGAGAGGACCCCGTCTGTTTGTCCTATATATCCAGGCCTAGGAGAGAAGCCAAGCAGTAAATTTTAAAAATCAAGGAAAAGTAATGCTAGCTGAATGAGATTGATTTGAGAGGATCTGATGTGATGACGCTCCTGAGTTAGGGAGGGGAACTTCTCACAGACCCTGTCCAGCTCCAGAAGCCCCAGCTACAGAGCAGGAGCCAGGACATCCGCGGAGTCCAGCCCTGCCCTCCTCCCTCTCTCATCACCTGCTCTCTCTTCTTTGCCCAGCTGGCCACTCCTCCTCACTGCTCTCCAGGCCATCCAGAGGTCTCTGTGTGGAAAGAGCTACTGGGTTCTGCACAGACAGAGTTACAATGGAACCCCTGCATCCTGTTTAGCAACCTAGGCAAGGGGTCCAGTTCAGACCAGAGCTCATCAGCTTCCTGAACATGGGAGGTCAGGGACAGGGAGGGGCCTGACTTGCCAGAAAGAACACCAGGCAGGACTGAAGTTACTCTTGGCTTAAGACATCCCCCCATACAGGAGCAAAGGCAGCAGAAGAAAGAATACTAATGCTACAGGTCAGAAAGCTGCAGGGTGATAGCCATCATTGTCAAGTTCATGAAGCATTATCTATTTTCTATGGATGTAGATTCACCAACCCCCACCTTCAATGACAGTTCTAGGTCACAGAGACAGCAACAGAAAGGAATAATCTTTTAATATCATGTTTGATTCATAATAAAGATATCTGAGCACATCTTGATCACCCTGACCATATTGTAGATTCACAAAGAAATTGAACTTGACCTCACATCCCAGAGTCACCCAGGCCAGGACTCAGACACACGTGCTGTGAAAGAGACAGACTGAGGACGAAGGTAGGCAAATATGGAGACAAACTAAGTGTTTCTTACCTGTTGAAGATAGGGCATGTAATCTTTATCCTTATAAAATGAACCATATTCGTTCTCCACCTGCACTGCAATGATGGGGCCTCCCTTGCGGTACTACAGACAGATGATGAGCGAGAGAGAGTGAGGCGACTGGTGGGAGAAGATGGAGTCTCTGGGTTTGCTGCTGAAGATGACACACCTGTTCCAGATTCTTTGATCTGAGTGGTGCCTTAGTTTGGGCACTCTCTCTCCTCCCCTTGGGTCTGATAGTCAGTGAAATCCAGGCACTTCAGCTGCTGCAAGGAGTCCTACCTTTCCCAGCTTTGTAGAGGAGCCACTCCCGCAGTTGTCCTCTCTCTTTCCCATACGAATTAGCTACTTAAATATGAAATCTCAAACCTATAATCTCACCTGCTTCCACGCCCACCCTACCCACTTTCCTAGCTGACAAATGAACAAGGTGTCCCTCCTCCCGTCTCAGGGCAATGCCACCACTCAGGTGCAGAGTCCCCCTGCCTCCCGCCATCTGCTCAGGAGCTTGGCTTTCTGCACCATTCCTTCTCCCTTCTGTGCTTTCCACCCTTTCTTCTAAACTGACAGACTTCCATCATCATGGAAACTTATTCAGAACCCTCACATCAGAAAGAGAGAGAGAGAAGGAGGGAGGGAGGAGGGAGACCTCCAAGATTGTTCCCCTCCAGCGACATGTCTCTTGCTCCCTGCTCCCCAAGGGCTCTACTTCTTGAGAGAGTTACCAGTGTCTACACTCACTTTCTCTGCTTTCTCACTTTTACCCCGCTCCTCAAACCCCCATGGAAGAGCTTCCACCCCCATCGCACGATCTAAGCCATCAACACTGACCTAGTTGTGCTGAAATTTATTACAATTTTCCATGTTTAGTTCAACCTTTCAGTGCCTTCCACACTCAGGTCGACTCTGCTCCTTGAAGCCTCGCCAAACTGAAGGTGGAGTGAGCATCGAGAGGGAGCGTCTGATCACTTCCCTCCCCACATGGCCCCTGCTGCCTGGAGTAAATGACAGTTTTAGAGGGAGGCGTTCCCTTCTGGACCACAGGACTAGCTTCTGAGCAGGAACAGAGGAGAACGAGCATGTTTGGGGGCTTTTCCTTCACACCCTCACCTTTTCCTTCTTTCTCACCTCACACTAGGCTCTACACTACTGAATTTCTTTAGTTCTTCAAACTCCTCGTTCTCTCTCTTGCCATCTGGTCTTCGTCCATGCTAAGGATTCCTGACCAGCACCCCTGGCTTGGCTAATGCTTGCCCACCCTTGAAGTCCTATTTAAGGTACTTTTTCTGGAAAACATGCTCCAGACCTCCCTTTCTCCCTCGAGGGCGTCCTGCACGTCCTCCACTGCGGCAGCTATCACTCATCCCGTAAGTGCTGTCTGCCTCTCACGCTGGACTGCAAGCTCCCAGCGGCAGGGACATGTCTGTCCTTCTCATCATTGGAAGCTTGGCTCCTACACAGCGCCTGGTACATAGTAGGTGCAATAATTACTTGTTGAATGAACACAAGTATTCTGAACTGATGAATTGAGAAAAGTTGTTTGTATTATTGAATAGTATCTTCTCCCCAACTTGAAGGGTGAGATTTCCAAAAACTCCATCATAGGAGGACTCATAGTTGCCTTATGAAATCAACAGGATTAGAAGAGTAAAGCTCCCAAGTAAAACGGTAAATACACCCTAAAAGTCATTTAAATATAACAATTTAACCAATGAAGATAACCAAGCAAATATAAAGACCTTAAAATACCGACAATTTAGTAATAATGAGCCCTATACATTTCATTTTCACTTATAATTCCTTGCTTCTTAAAATTTCCTAGGATTTCCCACCTCATGATTTCAACGGGATGTTTATAAATTGACTTTGCTTGCTGCATCTATGCAAATGCTCCTGTGCCTCAGCTTCCATCCAAACTTTCAAAGTCTTTTTAGTTTTAAGGCTCAGAGATTTTTACTCCCGCCATTGAGTCCCATCTGGAGGGCAGAAATCCAGCCACAAACCTATGGCCTCAGACCTTCCTACAAAAAAATGTACCTCGATTGCGCCTAACAGACCCGGAGCTCAGTCCTAAAGACGAGGTGTCCTTCCCCTCAGTGCTGCCCGCCTCCCCGACAGCGCGCTGCAGAACTGCCAACCTTTCACTTTCCTCCCTAATTTCCCAGTCCCCTCTTTATAGTTCTCCTAATGAAAGTAACTTAACAATTCAGAATCCATAATTAGTTATAAAGGGCTGAATCTGTATCATATTCTCCCCTAAAAGAAGAGTCTAAGATAATACGCTATTAGTCTACTATCTAATAATTCTGGGTTTTGTCGTATCTCAAACTATATCAAGAGATATGTTCTGATATATTTTTATTTAAATAATAGCCATGTGTCTCCTCTTGTTTGAAGACAGTCACATTTTACAAAGCAAACACAACAATCAAACAATTATCGCCTTGTTGACTTCAGGGAATACTGTTCTTTCTTTGTTACATACTGTTCTGTGTGCCGCAGGTTGACATCGTGAAAACAAAGGCATTTCTTATCAAGTGCATAAGGTCAGAGTATTCCATGAAGAAATTAAAATGCATGGCACCTGTGCTCTTTGCATTTATGAAATTAGAATAAACTGGAATGTAAGCAATCGCAAATATACCCTCACAGTTACAAAATGACATATGAACCAAGTTATTCATTATAGCATAAACTTGAAAAATCAAATGTCAGTGACAAGGGCACTAGTAAAATGAACTATGATGTATTGATATCATGGAATACTATGCAGCAATTAAAAAGAATGGCAGCTTTCAAAAATGTTTTTTCAAGTGACAAAAGAAAAATGTCCAGTGGGAACTGCATATTTTTATACAAAAAGTATACATGTACACACAGATACACATGTGTAAGCATGTGCATAAGTAATTAGCTTCGATATGTGTAGGAAATCTCTGGAAAGACACATCAAAATCCTATAAAATGAGCTGTCTCCTGAAAAGGCAGCCGACTGGCTCTGGAACAGGGTGGAAGGGAGATGAGCTCGTTTCACCATAAACTCTCTGTACTCTTTTGAACTTTTGCACCACACATTCATACTAACTGTTCAAAACAACAAAGATAATTTAAGCATAGAAATAAGCAGTATAAAGGCCAACGGGTTTAGTGAACTTCAAGTACATTCAGAATGATGATGACAAACACAAACCAATACTCTTTGTCAGTCCCTGTCTTCCTAAGCTCTGGAGTAAAGACTGTACTTAAGACAAGGGTCGAGAATTTAAGAATGTCAGCTTCAGCTCTCAGAGAGACTGGGCATGGCCTATTCCATAAACAAGTCAGTACAAACTATTTTCCTAAAGCAAATATAAGAAAGAGGGAAAAGGTCATTTGGCCTTACCTGGAGATGAACCACTCTGGAAATCAGATGATCAAAATACTTATCAACTGCTTCAACAAAGCCCTTGTCAGTCGTTCTCAGGTTCACCTGGGGATCTTGCAGTAACCGGCTGGGAGTGAAAGCAGACAAGCTCAGTGTTTGAGGTGGGAAGTCAGGGGTGAGGGGGAGCAAGAGGCTGGGGCTGATCACAGCAGCCAGCCCTTCTCAGGACTCCCTTCGGCACAGTCCTACATCCTTTGATTTCACATCCATGATCCTGGAGCCTCAGGTCCTGAAAGGAAGTTACCACGTGAGCTTCTTGGGACGGTTCTCACAGACTTGTGAGATTTAGAGGGAAAGATACCCCTTTGTCAATGTGACACTCTGCGACTGAGGAGGTGCTTTCAGCTCCATCAAGCCTTGGACACCTTGTCTTACAAGAGGTGTTATAACCTGTCATTGAATACCCTTCTCCATTCTTTTTCAGCTTATTAAAACATTTTTTGTGAGCACAGCATATGTACCTTAAGCACAGGGTTACGTTTCCTCTAAGACCTAAGACATCAAGCACAGAGTAGGAGCTTACAAACCAAGAAGCACACCCAAGTATGATACTCATAAGGTGCTGGCTGAGGCCTCCAGCTAAACTGCACAGTGAATCCTGCTTCTCTCAAACACCCACTGCCCTCCAAGTCAGGCTGTTTCTGCTCCTGAGCTGGGGTGGGAGAACAAGCTCATCTTGGAGAAAAGCAGAGCCTTTACCGGCCCCGCGGGAGCGAAGGTGCTCAGCTGGAGGCAGAGCGTGGCTATCGGGGAGTCCTTTCACCTTGCAGAGGTACTAGAAGAGCGTTCTTGGATTCTCACCCTGAACTGTAGTTGTCTGGACTGAGGGCCAGCATCACAGACAAGAGAAGAAGGCAAAGAAAAATGACAGGGGAGGGAAGGGAGCTGAGGGCACTCACACAGTGGAGAACTCGGTCTTCCGTTAACAAAATAAGAGAAAAACCAGAAGTCAGAAAAAGGAGAACAAGCCCAGAAGTTGTCAGAACCCTCCCTTCCACTCTCTAAGGTTCCCTTCCTGTTCCTCCCACTTCAGGAGGACAGAGGGGGACCCCGCCCTGCTGTGGGGCAAGAAGGGTATGACTATCCTGACGTGTCCCCCTGAACTCCCCCACACGCACTCTTGGCCACAAGCCCAAAGCACCAGGATCAAAGTCTCCAGTCCTTCATCCGTAAAATGGGGACTAAGATAGTCCCTATCCCTCACTACAGCAGTGCCTGAGACAATGTGTATAGAACACACAACATGGTGTGAAACACAGCACACAGGCTCACTACTAGGAGACTGAACTTTACTCTTAGTAAAGCAAACTACTACAACTGCAATGCTGGACTCAGCCGGCTCACCTGGGCAAGCCCCCGAGGTCAATCTCGCTGCAGATGTAGGGACCTGGACGCAGAATCACCCACAGCCCGATCTCCGCAGCAGTCAGGACAAAGGCCCTAGGGAGGTCAACGTCAGCAGCTCTCACGGCCTCAGACGCAGGCTGAGGAGGAGCCCAGCACACATCACAGCCCACGGTGGCGCAACTGCCCACCTCTCCCTCGCTTGCCTTCCTCTCCAAGTGGGGAGACGGGTGAGGGAAGAGAGGCCGCAGCCCCGGCCCCAGCAGAGCAGGATTCCCAGCCAGCTCCCAGCCTAGGACGTCTGCACAGGCCCAGTGGGGACATGAGGAGGAGGGCATCACACAGGGTGCAGGGGAGGCCACCAGGGAACCTGACCCCAACGGCCTTGCTACCCTAAGGGGGCAACCCCTTCCCCAGTCCTGGGGGCTGGGCCACACTGCACAGCGGGGCTGACACCTGGGATTAGGCACCTCTGGGAGGCAGTGAGAGGTCTGGCTCGGAAGAAGCAGGCCGAGACCCCTGGGGGTAACAGGTTCACAGCTGCAGAGTGTCTAGGTGCTGGCTGCAGAGCCTTTCCCACTGTCCTGAGAACAAGGCCCAAGAGCCCAGTCTCTCTGGCTCTCAAGCAGAGCCAGATGCCCCCATGGCTCCTAACCAACCCAAGGAGCCACTTCTCTGCCTCCCACCCCGGGCCAGGTCACAGAAGCAGCAACAGCACGTACTCCAGGTCCAGGTTCCCAGAGAAGTCAAATCTGCCTCTTTCTGGCTCATGGAGGTTCCATGGAACATAGCTGTAATAGGGAAGAGGGAAGTACAATAAGCATCTTCTTATTTCTTTCCTCTAAATTCCTAGGTCAATCCCAAACCCATGTCAAAACTTGGGATAGCTCTATTTTGGAATAAGCTGAAGTTTCCAATGGCAATTAACCCTTTATTACATGAGCAATGATTATTTTCAATAATTCCTTTCTCTATTACCCAACTGTAGTCCAAGCTGCCATTAATCCTACTCTAGATTCTTTGGGTTTACAGATATATCATTCTACTCACCACTCCATTCTTTGTAAAACCTATTAAAAAAATATAAAGAAAAGGGAAAAATACCCACAAATGTCTACACATGTTGAAGAAATTATTGCTAAGAATTGATCAAAATAAGAATAGAGGAGGAGTTTCTATGAGGATAATAGAGACACAGCAAAGGAAGGTGCCACCTTCAGGTCTTACCAAGAAGGACCCCACCAGGGACCTCCCCGACAGGGCTGAGTATGTAGGGCCAAAGGGACATGCGTAAAATGTTTATTAGGTGCTATTGTTATTAGGTGACTATCCTTCTTGCATGTCAACAACAAGGTTTTTGCGTGACGTGCCCCTAATCTCATATTTCTCATAAGCCCTATAGTTCTTATTACACAGTTTTGCACAGTGTGGAGATTTTTAAGAATGCGTATGTAGCATTATGGCAGAACTGACTGTATTTCAAGATCTTTTGTTGCAAGGAGAAATGAAAAGTTGGTTTGCTAAAAACTTTAAACATGCATGGTAAAGTTTATACTTCCACACTGAGAGAATAGAATGAAAACATTTTGCTAAATGATGCTTATGCTTACAAGTGACTTACTTTAAAGAAAATTGCTGAAAAAAGTTGAAAACACAATGGAAAAAGATATAGATGAGGCAAAATTATTTTAGCAATCTTAAATAGTAGGCAAAATGAATTTTAAGGCAAAAAAATACTCTCACAGATATTAAGAGAGACATTAATAATAAAAGGAATGATCCATCAAGACAATATAATAATCATGGCCTTCTATGCTCTTAATAACACAGCTTCAAGTAAAAGAGAAGTTTACTGAATCAGAGAAGAAATGGATAAATCCACAGTCATAGTGAGAAGATTTAAAATACTCCGCTAAGAAACAAAGATAATAACAGCAAAAAATTGTAAGGAAATAGATTTGAACACCAAATTAAAAGGCTGGATCTAATAAATACATAGAGAACTCAGGAGCCAACAGATGGAGCATATACATTCTTAAAAACCACGTGGAACACTTGTAAAATACAAAATAAACCTCAACAAATTCCAAAAATCTACACCACATAGTCTGTTATCCCAAGATAAATGCAATTTAAATTAGAAAATTACACTTTTTTTTTTTAAAGATTGGCACCTGGGCTAACAACTGTTGCCAATTTGTTTGTTTGTTTGTTTTTCTGCTTTATCTGCCCCAAACCCCCCTGTACATAGTTGTATATCTTAGTTGCAGGTTCTTCTAGTCGTGGGATGTGGGTCGCCGCCTCAACGTGGCCTGACGAGTGGTGCCATGTCCGCGCCCAGGATCCGAACCCTGGGCCGCTGCAGCGGAATGTGCAAACTTAACCACTCGGCCATGGAGCCGGCCCTGAAAATTACACTTTTAAAATAGTAAAAAGTAAAATAAAAAATAACTATAACAGAAAGCAGATACCCAAATAGTGAAATATTTGAAACGAAATGACTTTCAAAGTACTATATAGCAAAATTTATGGGCTATATAACCAAAGCAATACTTAGAGATACACTCATGTTCCTGAATAAATATAGTAGAAAACATAAAATCCTGGAAAGAAAATGAGCTAAATATTCAACTCAGGAGACAAGAAGAGAAGGAGGGGAGGAGGAAAAGGTACAAAATCGAATAAAGTGGAAGAAAGGAAATTATACACAACTAAGAAATCGTGAAATAGAAAACAAAGACATAGAGAAGATTAATAAAGCGACAAGCTGGTTCTTCAAAAAGAGTAAAACTTAGACAAAATTGAGTACAAAAAGGTCCAAATACACAATATGATATATAACTTCCAAGAAAGAGAGGAGAATTTTTTAAAGTCTCAGTCAATCCAAAAGAAGAAAGGAAATGAAAAATAAGAAAAACTACAGAATAAAAATAGGACATACTCTAGAAGCAACAGAAAATGTGAGTTAAACAACAATCATTCAAGAAAGTTATGTTGTCCCCAACATCTGCACCTCACAACCAGAAAAGACAGTAGTCACTGAGTTTTACAGGTGAATTTTAAGAAATGTTCAGGGTAAAGATAACTCTTTTGCAAAATATTTACAGTGAATAGACAAAGAGGACGTAGTCACTTGATGATACGAATGAGCTGGGCCCCCTCTCCCTGGTCTAACAGGTGAATCTAACAAGCAAGCTGCATAGGCTTAAAGTCAGTCCAGAAACCAGCGCCGTGCTGTGAGGCAGCCGCGCAGCCTCGTAAGCCCGTGTCTAAATGGCCTTGCAGCGTCCCCTCTCATGACTGAAGATGCCAGCAGGATGGATAAGCAACAGGAGGAGACAGTGGGGCCCTCACACTCACCTTTCCAGGCTGCATTTCTTAGAGATTGAGGGGAAAAGCAATGGCCCTGCTCCTTGCCTCCCTCACACGTAGATAACACCAACATTACAAGCCTTGTTTGATGTATAACCAGAAAGTTCCTGCTACCCTTGCAGTAGATGACTGTTAGATGTTAGCCTTCTCCTGCCCTGCTCAAAGGTATGTAAACTGCTTCAGACCTGCGGCCTCGGAGCAGTTCCTCAGAACACTGCTGGGCCGTTTCCCTGGACTCAAGTTCCTCACTTTGATTATCGAATAAACTCCTTCCTTTCACCTTTGCCCAGACTCTTTATTTCAGTTGACAATGAGTTTACTATAAGATTGATATCAAAACTGGACAAGACACTAACAGAAATAAAATTTTAAATCAATTTCAGTTATAATCATAAATATACTTATCTGAAATAAAACACTAGCAAATCAAGTCTAGCAACCTGTGTGTGTGTGTGCACATGAGTGTGCACGTGTGCACTTCTCATAACGGGACGGCATTTATCTCAGGGCTTGGGTTGTGGAATGTGAGAAAAATGTCAATGCAATTCACTGCTTTAACAGAAGAGTGTAGGAAAACCACATACTCCCTTCAATAGATGTAGAAAAGGCTCTCCGTAAAACTTAACAATTGTTTATGATTAAACTCTTTGCACATTAGATAAGACAATGATCCATTGCTGCCTGTCAGCTTCAAATCCACCCGTGAGTCTCAGCTCTGCAGCGATGCACCCACCGGGCCCTTGGGGCGCCTTCTCCTTCACAGCGAGTACGACGCTTGGCTTTGCCGCCAGGGGGCGGTGGAGGGCCATCCAGGAGGGAAGGGCTCCCCTTCTGATTCACTGCGCATTACCCCCCGGCCGCTGTATGGCTGGTCAGGGTGCAGGCATGTGAGGACATCCAGTGGTTCTCTCTTTTTTTAAAAGTCAATATACTTTAAGTATAATCCATAACAAGCAATGTAGAATTCACCCAGAAAGGAAAGGGAACTTAAATATTTTGGGATTACATATTCAAGATAGTTACAGATGTAAAAGGTTACATTACACGCCCCATAGAATTTTGCTGACATTCTTCCACTCCTGCTTAACTATACTGTAAGCTTGAGCTTCTCAGGACTGCCTTTACTGTCTCCTGACATTAACTAATAAAATCCCACAGCTTGACCTGAAAACAACAGACCTTTCTAATCGCTGGTAACAAACATCTCATCAAGAAACAGAAAAATATATTCTGAACTCTGAAATGATAAAATGCCGTGCAAAGGGCACTTGGACTTCACAACAAGACTCTACAACAAGGGTTGCAAAGTGCCGTGAACGTAATTCTCAGTCTGTAAGCAAAGTCCTCAAGCACGAAAGGCACTGAGCTGTTTAGCAGCTAGACCCTGGAGCCTGACTGGATTCAAGCACAGCGCTGCTGCCACCAACTGTGTGACTCTGGGAAACGGCCCTCGGCTCCCTTCACTTGAGTTTTCTCACCTACAAAAGACAGTGACAACACTCCTCACCACACAAGATTGCTGTAGGGACAAAGTGAATTAAAATTTCCAGGTTTGGACCATGCCTGGCCGTGTGTAATACCACATACCTTTTCACTGAATAACTAAAATTGGTTCTCTTCCTTTACCGTGGAGGACATACTGAAATCAGCATTGCTGTGCTCTGGCACCAGCACGATTGTTCTATGAAGGCTGGGCTTCCCCACCTTTCCTCTCACCTCCAGCAAGACGGCTCCCATGAAGTTAACCACACCCCCTTTTACAATCCACTTCTACAGTGTAGCCTTCCACAGAATTTTTTCTTTGGGCTCACCCTTCAACCCAACCCTTAATTGACTCCCAGTTTTTTGAGTTTTAAGACTTTTCTGGAAGTAGGTCTGTTATGAAAGGAACTCCACTGTTGATAATTCAAATATGGTTTTTGCTTTGCGCCCAGTTTTTAAGTGCTGAGTCTGTGAACAGGCAGGAGCCTTGGCTCCATGTGTGCCTCGGGTAGCATCCTCGGTCACAACTGCATGGTCAGGCCTGGAGAGGATGCTGGGAGGAGACGCTTACCCTGACCACACTCATGAAGCCTGCTGTACTCTGTCTCTTCACCCACAGGCAGGGCGGGCATCATACCAGCCATCTCACAGCACGTCGGTGAGGACTAAGTGACTTTGTGAACATGCTTAGAAAATGCCTGGCCATCAGCACACCCCAGATACATGTTACCTTTTGTCCCTATACACGTAATCATGTTAGATATCATGCTAAATTTATCATGTTAAATTTATATTTAAATTCTTCTGATTCACTAAACTGGGTTTGTATTTCTTTTTGCCACCATAATTGAGTATATACATGCCAGGCATTGTGATAGGCATTTTTCACATAAATAAGATAAAGGTCTTATCTCATTTAATCATCAACACAACCTTATGAAGCAATTACTGTTCTGCCCATTTACACCAGGGCCCTGAGACGCGGTGGCTGGAGGCAGAGCTGGGCCTGAAGACCCCCTTAATCATCGAGCTGCTGTAATCATTCCCTTTATACCACTAAACCTCACGTTAGTGATTCTGGTATTTCCCGACTTGCTCATTTTTTGACACTGCTACTATGCATCTACGCGTTCATCTCCATTTACACAAATAAGAATTATTTTAAAGACACCACGTATTTATGTGCAAGCATACTTTAAGCATCGTCAGTAAACTGGGTGCTCTGAGGGACCCAATAACTCTCCCTTGAGAGAGACTCCTGAGGAGATCACTCACTCCTTTTACATTTCCCCCATTGACCTTTGTCCAAGGCTTCGACCACAGCACACTGAGTCTGAGATGCAAGTGGCACTTAAGCGTAATGGGCGCATGTTGGAATGACTGTTCACAGGGCAACCCTCAGGCCAGGTTCCCAAACCAGAGGCTCTGAGCCGGGAGGCAGGTGTTAGGAGCCCCATAGGTATCAAGGCCACATAGGGCGAGGGGCCAGCACTCACGTGGTGACAGTGTTGAAGCCACAGGCCTTCAGCTTCAGGAGGCGGTCCCTCCAGTACTCCCTGGGCACGCGGAAATAGTGGATGGAGCCCCCGAAGATCAGGAACTTGTGACCCTCCAGTGTGAAGTACGGATTACTCCCAACTCTGCTTTCAGTCTGCAGTCCCATGGATCGGTTCCTCAGCTCCAGAGGGGTCAGACGAGACCAAATAAACCTGCTGAGATAGCGAGAGACTGAGAGAGAGAAACGGAAAGAGGAGCGACTGTTGAAGCCTTAGCAGAAGAAGAAGTTATTGTTAGCAGGACGTGCTTTGTGCATGCTTCTGATGTTATTTTCTCCAAGAAAGGAGAGAAAGCTCCCCTCTCCCCACTCAGGCAAACCTGTACTGGGATAGCTGAGGCTGCGCTTTTCCAGATAAGAGATTCTTTTTATGTTTCACTCGAGGAGAAAAACCTGATAAGATACATGGTAGGAAAAAGATGCACAGGATTCTTTTCCAGAAGAGACACGGGCTGAAAAGAGAAAGAAATGACAATGACAAGGGGAAAGCATCGGCCTTCTCAAGCTACAAGGGCTGGAAAGCTGCTCTAGAGGCAGACTGGAGCAAGGGGTCCGGCGGGCTCCTCACCGGCAGCGCCCCTAGGCTGGCCTAACGGCCAGGAAGGCCCCTGCACACCCAGGGCGGCCCCACAGTCCACCTCAGTCAGGGCAGAAAGATGCCGATAGACTTTCAGCCCCAGGAGCCTGAAGCCAGCAGCAGGACAGGGCTGGGCCCCAGGGCAGGGGGTCCTGGGAAAGGATAGAGGAGGGGTAAGGGGCTCAGTGAGAGACGGGAGCGCTTCATCCACCAAGTTCAGGAAGGACAGTGCCTGGGACCTGGAGCCCTTTGTCAGCGTCCACACTGATTTTCTTCCATCTGGAAAATGGATAGATCCTCAGCAGGGCGCGGTAACCCAGGTACGGGCAGAAGAAAGAGCGGAGGAGAGAAGGCTTGAAAGGCGAGTTGATAAGGAGAGTCTTGGGCAGGTTTGAGGGCCCAGAAAGGCATCCCAACCTAAAGGGGCCCTTGCCCTCCCGTAACGTCCCCAGGGGCCAGCGCAATAAGTGCCTGCGCCTGACTGGCTGACTGACAGACGCGGAGGGAGGTCCAGGAGGCTCCCCGGGAAGAGCGCTTCGTGACGGAGAACCTGGGATGGGGCGAGAGGGGCGCCCCCGCCTGCAAGGGCGGGATGGGCTGCGGCCTGGCGCGGCCCCGGGACAGCGGGGAGGCTCACCTGGAGCGCGGCCGGGAAGCCATCCCCACGGGCTGCAGGAGCGGAGGTCGGGCGCTGCTCCCGCCGCCTCTCGGCAGCCTGGGGACGCAGCCGGGGCCTGCCGGGCAGCGCCAAGGAGAAGGTCTCGGGCTCTGGGCTGCAAGAGGGACTGAGCCGGGCCTGCGACACATGGTGTCCGCCCACCTGTCTGCTCAGATGACCTTCAGCTGGGGGGAGTAAGGCGGTCGAGTCTTGGGTTATCACCCTGACCTTGATTTTCCTAAACTGCGTATCACCAGCCAATTGGGACAGAAAGGCAGAAAGGCGGAGCAGAGGGGGAGGCAAGGAGGAGGACAATTCAATCTACCCGAGAGCTGGGAAGTTTTGATTCCACGGGTTCAACCACTTTAACGAGTGGCCCTTTGGTACCAGACGGCGCTTCTGGACTAATAGATGTGGTGTACACGCAGGAAAATAGTTTCAGTACGATGAGTAAGTGCTAAAATAAAGGCTCCACAGGGTGTGACGACGACGCACAGGCGACCCTGGAGGAGGAGTTTTCTCAAACTGAGTTGGTAAATGAGTGTGAACTATCAGAGCGAAGGAAAGTGGGAATGCTGTTCCTATCAGTGGGAATAGCTTAAAAGTAATGACTTAATGTGTGTAAGAAACTAGCTTGGAATTCTTTGCTTATAAAGTAGCAGGAGACGGGGCTGGAGACATCAGATCGGGAGGAGGCAGGGCAGGGAGGGCTGTGGATGCCACGTCCAGCAGCTAAGTCTCTTTCCAGAGATTTCAAGCAGGAACTACATCAGCAAAGGGTTGTATGGAGATTACTTGGCCACAGGCTGGAGGCTGGATGGGAACAGACAAGTCATCCCAATAGACCCGGTCCCCCGGGGACGAGGGCTCTTGTGTTTCTCTTGGTGGTAACAGTAAGCAGGAAGAGGGAGTGGATTTAAGAAAATGTTGTGAAGTAAAGTTGGTAGCTCTTGGTAATTGATTGGATGTGGCAGGTGATACAGAGAAAGGAGTCTGGGATGACGACCATGTTTCAGGCTTAAGTGACTTGGGTAGATGGGGGTGACCTTTACTGAGATCAGAAACACGGGAAATGATAGAGGTTTGAATAGAGACAAGAGTGTTGAACCCAGTTTTGGCCATGCTGGATTTGAAGTCCCTGTGATGAAAAGAGAAATCTTCTGATCTCTTCTCTTTGAGCATTTTTAGGTTTATAATAAAATTAAGAGGAAGGTGCAGAGATTTCTCATATAACCCCTGCACATGCACATGCACAGCCTCCCCTCTGTGAACATCACTCACTAGAATGGTACATTTGTTACCAGGGATGAACCTGCATTGACACCTCATAATCACCAAAGTCCATAGTTTACACAGCGTTCACTCTTGGTGCTGTAAATTCCATGGATGTGGACAAATGTATGATGCTATATATCCACCATTATAATATCGTACGGAGTGTTTTCACTGCCCCAAAATCCCCTGGGATAGTACCCATTCACCTCTTTCAAACCCATCCCCCTGGCAACCACTGATCTTTTTATTGCCTCCATAGTTTTGTCTTTTCCGGAATGTCATATAGTTGGAACCATATAATATGTCGCCTGCTCAGATTGGCTTCTCTCACTTAGTCATATGCCTTAAGTTCCTCCCTGTCTTTTCATGGCTTGATAGCTCATTTCTTTTTGGTGACGAATAATCCATTGTCTGCATATACTAGTTTATTTCTCCATTCATCTACTAAAGGACATCTTGGTTGCTTCTAAGTTTTGGCAATTTTTGTGTGGAAATAAGCTTTTGACTCGTGTGGGTGTAAGTGAGCTGGCCCCAGCCCCTCCTCTGTTTGACTACCCGCTGCTATGCACGTACTTTAAAACATTCATATGCTCGTCTGATTTGTGGCCTCCTCCTACGTATGTACTCCCTGATACCTTGATAAATTAAAACTTTGTTCTATGAGTTTCTCTCCAGGAGCAAGCTGACCACAGGCGGGAAACACACCTACAAGGTACCCATCCCAGCTGACAGAAGAATGGCGCATGAGTCCTGGAGCCCGTCGTGCCTGGAGACCAACATTCCTGGATCGCCTCCTCACTGCCCATCTTCTCTATATGACTGCCTCAAGATTCTGTAATCCTGGAAGATGGATTTTTGAGACATTAGTCCCCTATCTTCCAATTAACTGGCTAATCTAATTAAACTTCCTTTCTCAATCTCTAACTCTTTGTGATTAATTGGCTCAGATCACAGTGAGCAGAGCAAGCCCATTGCTCAGTATCAAGTTGCTGCAACCCAGATGGGACCACAGCCTCTGCCCATGGCCAGTCGACTTGGAGGAGGCTGTCTGGGGATTCTTTCCTGCAGCTGCCGCTTTTCCACCTGGGGAACTCCCCTTGTGGTTTCCTCATTTGGCGACTGCCTCCAATGCTTCAGTGATCGGGAAACGAAGGACTGGATCGTGAGCTGAGGAGCTTGCATCTGCAGCTAGGTGAGTCATCTGGGGTGTACCTCCTGGGTACCATATTCCTTTTCCCTTCTCTGGGTGCCTTGATCAGGCCAACGCCCGTCTGGTTTAGGCACCGTTGTTTAGGGATAGAGGAAGTACAGACTGCCTAGTATATCATACGGAAGACTAGTCTCTGGTTTTTCTGTGGTGCGCACACCAGTATGGTCTGTTCTCCTGAGTGTGTGTGTTGTTCCACCAGTCTGTTTGCCAGTTTTTCTCTCTGTCAGAATCTCACAACATACTTCCAGTGCTTGTTACATCATCTGTGGGGACTCGAAGTTTGTGACCTTTTCTGTCAAGTGTCAAGCTAGAATTGTACACTTCAGTGCGGGCACCACTGTTTGTGTGCTAACCCCTAGGAGGAAGGCGTGAGAGCGTGGCCTGACCACCTTTCCCACGCTTAGTCTGTCTAGTCTGGCATGATCTTTGCTGTCATTGTGTAAAAGTCAGGTTTAGGCTTAAAGTAAGCTGGATTTGGACTTCCCGCGAAATAGAAGATCTAAACATCTTTGTGCCAGGCGCCTGACCGCCTATTCCAGTGTTGGGAAATTAGATGTTTACCCCGCCTGAAGCCAGTACCTCTTGTCTCCTTGGCTGATTTAGCAAGAACTGTGTGCCCAGACGGATGGGATTTGGCTAAGTCCTGTAGTGATACGGACGCCTCGACTCAACCCCTGCACCCTGCTCCGGGTTTGTAAACTGTCAGACACAAACGACCACCAGGAGAGCTACCCTGTCCATTCCAAGAAAAAAAAAAAAGAGTCCAGCCAGGGTGCATGCTGGCCAATTGGGCTGATTTCAGTTGTGAGCCCATGACAAAGAAAAGGATGATCTTTTACTGTAATGTAGCCTGGCCCCACTGAACCCTGGGCTCAGGAGAAAAGCGGCCCCAATAGGTCACCCAATTATGATACCATCTGGCAGCTAGAACTGTTCTGAAAGAAGGAAAAAAAAAGATAAAATCTCCTAGGGGCTGACCCTGTGGCCGAGTGGTTATGTTCACATGCTCTGCTTTGGTGGCCCAGGATTTCATGGGTTCGGATCCTGGGCGCAGACGTGGCACCGCTCATCAGGCATGCTGAGGCAGTGAACCACATAGCACAACCAGAGGCACTCACAACTAGAATATACAACTATGTACCGGGGGGCTTTGGGGAGAAGAAGAAGGAAAAAAAAAAGATTGACAACAGATATTAGGTCAGGTGCCAATCTTTAAAAAAAAACCAAAACTCCTAATGTTCAAGCCTGTATGCTGTTATATCTAGATCAATGGACCAAGGAGTCCCCTGGCTCCTCCGCCTCCTCTCCCTTTTCCAGGTCCACTGCTCACCCAACAGAAAATGCCTGAGGGATTGCTGGGTCTAAGAGAAGGATTCTCTCCTTCTCGAACCTGGCAAGGGACACAGTTTGGTCAGGGGGCCTTCCCGGAACAGGGCAATTTCCACTGTGACAATATCGCATAGACATAAATGGACACGGGCGACTGGCCAGCTTCATTTGGATGCACTCTCCTTTCTCTACCTTGAATCTTTTAATTAGAAAGATTTTATATGCTTGAATGCTCTGTTCTCCTCCTGGGATGAAACTTTCTGTGTAAACTGAATGCTCAAGTGACTTTTACTCTAGGCCAGCCAGAGGTGCAAGTGCTGCTGGTTCCAGATGGCCCCCCTAGGTGTTCAAATACCACCACCAAACCCACTGCCACTGGAGATCTTCAAGGAGGTGAGACCGGACGTGTGAGCAGATGGGAAGCCTGGGAAAACACAGAATGTCCAGCCAATACATAGACCCTTGAAAACCCAAAAGATAAAGCCTAGCCTGAAACAATATCTGCTAAAACAGGAGGCTCAGAAGGGCATTCAGCCAGTGCTGCAGAAATTCCTGAAGGCAGGATTAATCAGACCTTGCCAGTCGCTATACAAAACTCCTATTCTCCCAGTCAAGAAACCTAATTCAGAGGAATATCGGTTTGTTCAGGACCTTTGTGCCATAAATGAGGTGGTTCAGGACCTGCATCCTGTGGTGCCCAGCCCTTACACCTTGCTAACCAATGTTCCAGGTGAATACGGCTGATTTTCAGTTTTGGCCTTAAATGATGCATTCTTCTGCATACCACTCACAGAAGAATGGCAATCACTTTTTGCCTTTGAATGGCATGACGCAAATACTCAGGCCACACAACAATATTGTTGGACCTTGCTCCCTCAGGGCTTTAAAGACTCCCCTATGCTATTTGGGGAGGCCCTAGCTAAAGACCTGAGCCACCTGAGCAATTACGAGAAGGATTGCTGTTACAGTGTGTGGATGACTTGCTGATAGCGAGCCCCACTTATGAGCAGTGCCTGGCCAACACAATAAAGACCTTGAATCCTTTGGCTGAATGTGGGTATAAGATCTCACAAAAGAGAGCACAGATATGCAAACAAAAAGTTACATACTTAGGGTTTACCTTATCAAAAGGCCAAAGGGAACTGCTGCCAGACTGAGAGAAAGCTAGTGTGTCTGAGCCCTCCCACCGCTTGGCCACAGCTACAAGGATTCTTGGGCAGGGCTGGTTTCTGTCGGATCTGAATTCCTAGCTATGGCCTCAGAGTAAAGCCCTTCTATGAGGCTCTAACCGGGCTAGACCAGGAGCCACGAGAATGGACAAAGGAATGTCAGGAGGCCTTTGATACCATCAAGACAAA